TTCCCATCTTTGGAAATAGTGTATGAAGGTCATAAGATGGTCGAATGTTTTGCAAGAATGCTTTCCTGTTTTTCATTTGAGAAGCAGAGAAGTGAAAAGTCATAAGCGCGACATCTTTTGTAAAGCGTATACTGAAACCAGGCAAGTTCCCTATCTTAAAAGTTCATGCTATGTCTAATCGAAACTAATGCCTGCTGTTGTAATGTGTTGACTGCTCAATAAAAAGCCTGGCAAGTGTTGAAGCCAAGCGGAGATGCAGAGATTGAGGGTTCAACTCTGGACTCCCCTTTGCAAAGCATTTCAGGAAAAATCTTACACTGTCTTTGTTTCCATTTTTTATAGGTTAAGGTTGGGGAAACTTAACAACCCTAACACCTGTTTTGACAAAAACTTTGGCTTCACGACTAAGGAGCTGAAACCAATAACTCCTAAAACAGTGAGAAAGCTAAAGTGTAAAAAGACATGATTCCAGATTATGGTAACAGCTTTTGGCAAAATAGTACTGTAAGAATCGGGTTGTTATTTTTTTATTGCTGCCAAAATGTGCTTGGTAGAGCATACACAAGTTCCTGCTGGGAGTGTTTAGGTGTTTAATTGTACCTCTCTAGGCCTTCCGCCAGGGTTCAGAGCCAGGTTGTTGGCGAAGTCCGGTGATTGGGACGATGGGACGTTATCGTGGCCGCTCTGATAGTGTCCCTCGCTTGTGGTCCGGCGCCTGCCTGTCTCCTGTGTCACCTCTGGGGTCATTCCTCTGGAGCGAACTCCTGAAAATCCCCCCAAAACAACATTCACAGCAAAAACTCAACATGTAGTTTATATAAGGAAAGCTTGCATAGAACATTTAGCAAGATTGCTAAACAAAGACTCAAAAATGCTCACAAGCCAAAGCTAAAGCAAGCTGGCTAGGGGTGTAGAAAGTAAAAGTTCAGAATTGGGATGTAGGAACAAAAGACAAAAGCGAAGCAGGAAAAAAAAAATGAGAAAATTAAAAGTGAGGGAAAATGGACAAACCAGAGAAGGAATAAGAACGATGGCGGTCAGATTGTTGGGATGTCATGCTTTCACTGATGCCCCGAATACGAGCGTTGTACTCTGTTCCAAGGGGGAGGGAAGTCAGGTGATGAAGGGGAGGCAGCGGGGTGAGAAAGGTGCAGAGGAGGAGGCAATAACAGGAAAAGGTTTTCCACAGAGATGGATTTAATAAAAAAACAAAAAACAAGGGGAAAAAAGAACAGAAAAGAAATCAAATCATAGAAAGTGTAGCAGGCTGATAAATGAAATGATTTGTGTTTACACTTTAGCTCCACTAGAAGGCAGCAGAGGGATTATTGAGATAAATGTGCACTCTGAATGCAGATAATGCATAGAAGCTCCTGCGTGCTTGGCTATTCTTACTCTTCTTCCCCTCTCTGCTGTCACCAGCTCTGCTTCGTTTGAGCTGCAGAGCTAATTTTATGAGGTCAGTGCTCTGGTACGGCACCCTACCATGAATCTGTAACACAAACTGCTGAAAGCTGCACTGCTACAGTCCTCTTTAAGCCTCTGTCAGCATTTGGGAAACAGTCAGAGAGGCTTTGTATCATTTTGTAAATGCAATAAAGCTTTTCATGCATTCCTATATCACAGTTTTTAAGATGATCTTCATTTTACAAGTAGAGCTCATGTGCATACTCCAGTCTTGACCTACACATTAATGTAATAATATTGTTTTTATCTAACTTTAATTGGACGATTATTTAACTTTAAACTTGTACATTTTCTTCTTTATTTTAATATTGTCTGAAAGATAAAAACCCCAAAGTTTCCAAGTACACCTATGTCTCAAATTGAATTGCATATTTTTCATTATTGTTGAAAGAAAATAACACGTTTTGTAAATTAAACTTTAGCATAGCTAAAGCATAGCTGGCTGCTATGGACTTAGACTGATGGAGGACATAGGGACCCCTTTACATCACTCTGCTTCATTTTATTTCTATCTCTATTCTTCCATCCTGCAAAATGTGTTAGTTGAAACATCTAACTTTATGATCTCTCTGCTTTGTCCTCATCACAGTAGCTTCACCTGGTTTGTTCCTGTTTGGCTGTGACACCATCCTGGAGAGAAATATCAGCTGTGCTGCTGACATCAGCACCTTGATATATATATATATATATATATATATATATATATATATACTGACAAAATTAACACTACGTGAGTTGATGTATTTAATTTTTTTTAACCCATTAACACATTCCCGCCCTGTTTTACCAACAGTTCAATTGTCTGACATGCTGGATGGAGAGTTCAACTATAAACAAAAACANTATATATATATATATATATATATATATACATATTTAGGCTGTCAAAATTAACACATCGCGAGATGATGAATTTCATTTTTTTTAACCCATTAACACATTCCCGCCCTGTTTTACCAACAGTTCAATTGTCTGACATGCTGGATGGAGAGTTCAACTATAAACAAAAACAAAGAACATTTTGTGGTTTGCAAGAAAGACTTTTCGTTATACTGAAGCACCTTCGAGCCTTAAATATCATCTCAACACCAAGCATTAATTAGTTGGGGCTCCAACTTCAGGTGTTACACCTGGCATGCGTCAGACCACCTTCACCGAGCGCAGGGCATTAAGTAAGTCTACGTCTGATAAAATTGCCAGATGGATAGCAAGGACTGTAGACAGATTAATATTTCAGATGCCTCACGTGCAAAAACATTTTGCATATATTTAAATATTTTGTGGGTCACCAGTCTGTTGCAGTCTGTCTGTAACTAGTTAATTGGCATCTCTAAACTGTCCTTATGCGTATGAGTTCATGCATGGTTGTATGTCTTCGTATTGCCCTGTGACTGACTGGCGACCTGGCCAAGTTGTATCACGCCCCTCGCCCATAGACTGCCGGAGATAGGCACCGGCCCCACCGTGACCCTGACGGAATAACCGAAGGAAGATAATTGGATGGATGGAAGAAAATGTATATGTTCGATAAATCTCTTCAAAGTTTTTACTGAAATTAAAGCAAAAGTCTTGTGATATACAGCATTCAAACTTCTGAAATTACTTTAAGTATAAAATCATTACATTCTGTTCAATAAATGATAAGTGTTTTTAATTAGGAGTAATTTCATTTGAATGTGCTTTACTGGACACATCCATGTTTGTCAAAGAACTCTACTGCCACCTAATGGTTTGTGACATCACGGTGCGATATCGATATCTGCTGTTGAGCAAGTCCCAATGGTGTATCTGTTGTTTGTCGCAACGTGCAATTTTTGAAGTTATCTTGAAAACATTCTTCTTCCAAATGTTGGCTACATATTACAATTTTTCTCCTCTGGCCAGAAACTCGATGGCAAATCTTCCCTCTTCATGAATCCGGAAGTTGACATAACAAACTTTCTTTTTTTCACTTATAACCGATGTATCACAACATCCAACTGCCAGGCATATGGAAATTGTCATATGGTGAAATTTCAATTGTGAAATCCTCTCGAAATCTTAAATAATTGTTGTTTTTGAAGCGTGTCTAGTAGTTCCCATTGATTTTGCTTGTAAAGCAGGGAGAATGCCGCTCGGCTGACCACACAATGACGTCGCTGCCAGTGTAGATACCAGGTCTGCTCGGGTGGTCAGATCTGCTCTGGTCCTTGTCCTCCTCTGCCCTCAGATCTCAACAAAAAGAATAAAAAAGCTGAGACTTTTTTTGTCACCTTGTTAAATGGCAGAGCTTAGTCTGTCTTAGAAGGCAGCACTTTCCTTCAAGACTGACAGTTATTGTTTTATAGTTTCGGCTACTTTAGATGGCTAGTGAAATGTAAAATAATAGCAAATATATGTAATAATATGTTAAAACTCCAAAAGAGATTCGATCTTTAAGAAACGGTTGCAATACAGTTTGTCTGAGTGGAGTTGCTATATGTTGAGGTCATAAGAAGTGGCAGGTCCCCAAGCAGATCTGATACCTACACTGGAAGATGTCTCGAGTGAGGTATTACTATATTTGGGCAAAAAAGGCCGGTCCTAGATTCATTGATCGCAACAAAAAATATTATTTTATTTTTTTACTGCTTAATGCTGAATTCATTAAATCATTAAAGGACACAACAACCGCAAACGTATTAGTTTTAGGATATTAATTATGATACATTGATTTTTCATGCTGACCGGACTTTTCCTTTAATTTTAATTGCATTTATATTTAAATGTCTCAGATCCATATATATTTGTAGATTGATGGGTTTCAGCTGATGAGATGAACCATTAAAACAAAAAAAACTTTGCAACAGCAGTGAAAACAGTGAAGAATAAAAAAATTTATTTCAATTAGAATAATAATTGGGGCTAAAATCAGGCTAGTGATTATCCTTATTTTAGTTTCTCAAAAAAAGTATGACTTTTTACAATACTCGATCAGTTCAATGCATACATGCAACTGAAATTAATCAGGAACATCTTACCTGCGATACGATGTGCAACCAGGCCTTCCAAGTTAAGAGTTTCCTCCTCCACATCTTGCTCTCTTGGAAAGGGAGAAGTGGACATATCCTTGGGTTGGGGTGTGAGGGCAGGAACGGGAGAAGAAGAGGTGCTATACCCTGGGTAAGGAGATGGCCCATGCAGGTCTGGGGATTGTGAAACTCTATTTGTTGAGTTCATTAGTTTCTGTGGAGATGGCTGGTTGAGATTAGCAGAGCTATCTATGGCGTAGTGCTGGGTCCCTTGACGTGTTTGAACAAAGGGCTCAGGAGTATGTGTTGGAGTGGTGTTCTGAAATTGGTAACTTGTGTTGGACCTTTGGGGGGAATATGTTGGAGACTCCATGACAGGACTTTGGTTAGGCACTGTTGGAACTCTCCCAGCTGGCTGTGGCTGCTGGTGATAGGTGTTGTTCCCTGACCCAGAGTTATGGTAGCCATGGATGGCAGAGTCTCCTTGGTAGGATGGTCTAGCCAGGGTCTGGGAAAACGGTATCTGGGATGAACTGAGGGTGTTATCTCCTGGGGGTGCACTGTGGGACTTGGACATATGTGAGTTGATTGGATCTAAATCAAGCATCAGCATGTTTAGTGCCTCTATGGACTGTTCAATATCTCGCTGTGAGGCTGGTGTTGGGAAATGAGGCAGGCTGTGGGTTGACTGAGGAGGTGGCCCAAAAGGATCATCTGGAAGACTATGCTGGTGCCAGTGGTTAAGACCTCTTTGAACTGCCTCTCGACTACTGGTACTCCTCTCAGGGGCCTTGGGCATAATTTTAGCATTGGTCTCAGGGCTACTGGATGCTTGATTCCCAAAGGACTGGGAATGGTATATTGCACCTCCATTTTGGTAGTTGTTGTATCCCCCCTGGGGTGATGACAAGTCTACCGACCTCTCCTGCATTGCTGTAGGAGTCCGCACTCCATGCACAGGCATTTCGTTCAGCTTTTCCCCTAGAAAGGTTCTCTCAAGGTATAGACCGTCGTTCTGGCCACTCACAGGTGTCTGTGATTGGTAGTAGAGGCTAGCTGGTGTTGCCTGACCGTCTAACGATGAGATGGTGCCCAAGCTGTCCACACTGTTGCCCTCCTGGCTAATAGGAAGTTCGTCGTCAAGGATATCAGTTTCACGCTCCTCTGTTGATGGTGCCCCGAGAACCCGGGTATGGCCACTGTTGACATGTACCTGTGCTGGAACCAGATGTCGAACCCCTCCTCCCGGACTGGTAGACAGGTAGGCCTGGCGCTGAGGAGGTGGCTCAAGACCACTTAGAAGCTGGTCTAGTTCTCGTTTCTCCTGTGGGCTAAGTGTTTGGTGGGCTGATATAGGGTTGTTGTGGCCCACAGCGGTGTGCAGAGAATGGCTGTGGTCATCAGTGCGATCAGTCTTGATAGATGCAGTGGAGTTGCCTGAGTCACTGCTCACAGAAAGAGTATGATCTACAGCAGGGAGGGAAGTGTGGCCTGCCACTGGAAGGGACTGCTCAGTCTTCTGAAGTGGATGGTTAGATTGTTGCAGAGTACTTTCTGTATTTGTCAAAGGGTTTTCACGGACTGGAAGGCCATTGATTGTAACAACTCCCTCCAAAGAGTCTTTCTTTCGAACCCGGGCATAAAGACTTCCATCAAGTGGGCCCTGAGTATGCCCAAGATCTGAAAGAACCAAGAGATAATACTAAATGGTTTGAAAGTAAGTAGAGATTGAGGACAATTACAGCATTATACAAGAAATGGTTAAACCATTAACATCAAAAGTGGACCCCCCCTCCTTGAATCCAGCTCCTGCAATCCAAAAGCTCCACATGCTGCATCTCTACTAGCAACATAAACCCTTCAGCACTATTAATAGTCAATTTGTAGGGCTAAAGCTCCTGTCATGTTGCGTCAGCACAGGCCTATAGGGGCCAACATGAAACAGTTAAAGTCATGCCCTACAAATGGAAACAATTTAAACATTGTCAGTATGAATGTCTGAATATAGACTTTGAGAGGAGAAGCAAATTTCCTCTGTTGATCTCTGGCTGCTAAAATACATGTGCTACTTTACTGGCTGTTTAGATCTTGCACAATTCTTTTACAGCTACTTTTTGACAATTTCTTGGTTCCTGGAATAATTCCAACGACAAATAACCAACAATACCCTAAAGACATTCACTGGCTCATATGTGGGATGTTCCAGGTTGAGTGACCCCTCTGGGGCCAGATGGTGGATCGCTCAGACTGCAGCTATTTCAAAACTCATGTCAACAACAAGCTCTTGGGTGCAGTAGCAACACGAATGAGAGGAGAGTGCATGAGGAGACTGTAAACACAGTTTGTCCCAGTGGTTCCTTAATATGTTATGAAAGTATAAAGGTTTAGATTACATTTTCATTTTGAAAGTAAAGTTAATTCAAACACACTATGAACTAATTGCAACCAGAACAAACAGTGCTTCTTCTAAAAATTCTGAAATTTCAGAAAATCACATTATAATAAATAACAACGACACTTCTTTAGGTTTTTAACTAAAGGAACCTTTCTTCTTACCTGTTCTAATAGAATTTTAAGTCGCTGTATGGAGAATAATTCAACAATATTACTATTAAAGGAGGCTGAACTTTAGTCCATTATTCAGCCTATGTGAACAGGATCCTCCGTCTCTTCTGATTCACATCCTAACATCATCTAACATGTGCTCTACCCCAGTGAGGCGGGACTCTACCACTGAAGCTGCCAAGAGGGGTGAGCTGGCACTCTCCGATGATTTCTGACTGTTCCCGTCAGCAGGGGAGGGGACTAAACCATCATAACCACATACAGCAATACCCAGCTGTCTGGGAAGGTACGCCTTTTCAGACAAAGTACAGTTCCTACAGAGGTGTCATTGATGGTTCCTTTAACACGTTTCTATAAAATCCACCCGTCTTTTCACTTTGCCTATAAAATATTTTTCACTGTATGCAGTTTTCTGTATTGTTAGTACATATATGTGAGAAAGCTGTTTTGAGAAGATGAGCTCCAACTCCACGCAAGGTTCTTGCAGGCAGGTTAACAAATGGGCTTTCTGCTCCAGCTGTAGACAGACAGCAACCTTTGAAGGAAGGTGTGGAGTGTCCAGATTCAGAAGGATTCCCAAACTACTGTTCTGAATAATAAAATATTGCTTCAGTGAACATTCGTCCCTGCCTAGACACCCCTACAAAAATTGTCTGGTTCCACCACTGGATACAACAGTTTTTAGTATCTCTGTGTCATCATCAGGACTATTTTTTTCTGTAAAACGTTATGTATACAATTAGACACATCTAGTAAACTTAAAATGCCTAAAAAAAAAAAAATGCAAAGAAATGTATCAGAAATGATAAAACTCCTATGTGCAAATTTATAAAAGCCAGACAATTTAATTGTTTCAAAAAAATTAGAATGTTCTGATAATTATTTCATTGTTTGGGCTTTACAGGGTTACAAGGCCCAGTTAATATCCTGTTACACAGAAAAATGACGTTACTCCATCTTTTCCACAGCATTTTTTTAATATGACATTAAAGCCATATTCTGCGTAAAGACTGATCATGAATGACATGAAAAAGGAGCAGGCAACAATTAGAATAAGACGAATACCTTTCCTCTGCAGTCATTAAATGGCTAAGCTTATATTAGATCGGTTGACTCATAGAAGCCCCCTACGGCTCCAATAGCTAACAACTTGTTTCATTTTCTAGTGAATGGGTAGTAAAATCTAGTCTGGTAGAATTTAATTAAAAACTTTGAAAGGCAACATTTATAACATACATCTGTCTGGTTCTACAGGCTTTCCTTGTAGTAAAAAAGGTATCACTCATACAGCGGCACACTCAATAACTCCGAAGCTTCATGTTCATAGCTTGAGTGGCCACAATAAAGCAGTTTAACATTAGCGGGCTAGGGTTTATTAATACCAGATAATATTCTTCAGGTACAAAGATTTTAAAAGACCAGAAACGTTAAGATAAGGGAGAGCCTTTTAAATGAGGCAAAGATAATAAACCAAACACATTTCAATAAATATGGAGTTAACTATGTTCCATTATTGTTAAAAGTTTTGTAAATAAAGATTATTAAAACACAGTTTGTAAATGAACGTTGCACAAATATGCAATACAGATTTTTTATTATTATTATTTCTTAATCAAAACATTTTGCTGGTCACTTTGAAGTTTTCTCATTGTTTTTATTTTTTTTATTTTTTATTTTTTCATTTTTTATTTCTTTCAGATTGAGTTTGACGAATTTAATTATTTTAATATAGCATTTTTCATTTCCTATTCTCTTCACTTCAAGGGTTCGGCTTCCCTCTAAAGGGAGGAGCAAAGAAACATTGACACTGATCTGCAATGCAATTCATAAAACTTAATCTGGAAATAAAATCTCTATTATTATATATATATATATATATATATATATATATATATATATAT